GCTAAGATCCTCTGCACTGAGCTTCCAGCAAGCCTAAAGTTATTGTAGGCAGCTGGGAATTATCTGCAGCGGTACCAGTCGATACATGGAACTGTCTGAGCTCTGACTCAAGGAAAGGGAAGCATTATACACCTATACGCTACAGATACAGAAAACAAGCTCTTTTTTTTTCATGGCAAAAATCTGACTGAACAATACTGCTAAGGAAGGGAATGAACTGTGTCTCTTCCAAGCCTGTCCATTAAATACAGAAAGAGCCAACAAAAGAAAAAAAAGAATCAAGTGCTTCACCTCGACATGCACTGCTTTGTCTGCATAGCCTGTATAAGTGACATGCAAGCTGCTGTATCTGGTCAGGCACGACATTTGCAATCAATAGCACTCTGCAGCTTCGTGTATGAACGCAGATGAAGCCTGTGCTAATGACACCACTGCTCTGAGCTACATGTTTGTCAAATACATACGTACTAATTTGGGCAGGGCCTTTACAACGTTCCTATTACATGTTCCATTCAAATTCAATGTGAGAACTGACTTTACCTGAAAGATGGGGTACTTCACATAGTTGATCTCAATACAAGTACTATCAGATGAGGGCTTGCTAGACAGCAATGCTTTAAACCTAAATAAAAGGGAGCAAGATTGAAATACAAGCCCAATTATCTCTGTGAAAAAGTACGGCAAACTGGAAGGACAGCATCAGCTCTTGCAAAAACAGTACATAGAAATGAATGGATTTGTCACTGAAAAGCATCAAGATTTAGACACTGACATAAAACAAAGTTCAAACCAAAAGGAAGAAGCCTCTCTTTTGGGAGATTTCAATTTGAATTTTTTGAAAAATACATATAATATCACAATAGGAAAAAAAAATGTATATGAGAAATTCAGATACTGTAATGATGCATATTAGAGAACAAAAAAATCATCTTTTTTCCGAAGACTTGCAACATTTAAAAACTGCACAACAAGGAGATAAATTTTGGCCTATGTCCATTATGCCGCTTCAAAAAACACGTTTTGGAACAAAATATTAAAACAACTACACTAAGACTTTTAATGCTTCCATGCAGGTTCAACACGCTTGTGTAGGAACAGGTAGGAGAGAAAACAGGATAGGTGACTGTTCTGTGATTATCAAAACCTGAAATTTAGACACAGGTTCCAAGAAAAAAACCCACATTTTAAGTTAATATTTGCATATTTATGTGAAACATATACATATGTAGCAATCTGTTTCTCAGAACTAGATATTCCCATTTGATTAGAAGGCAAAAATTGGAAATGCACTATCAGAAACATCTGCCCTTGTACTTCCTCTTTTTGATAATACATCTGACCTTCCAGCAGTAGTGCAAAGCTTGGCTTATCTATCAAGACCAGCATTTTCTGGATGGTAACCTTTTCCATATCACGACCGCATCTTGTTAATTAAAACGCGCAGAACAATTGATTTGCTTTTACTAGTGTCAAACTCTACTATGAAAACAATTTAGTAGGTTTAAAGCTGGACTTTGGAACGTATTTGTACCTCTACCAATATGCACTAAAACAAAACACTAATTTATTGCTTGCAGGCAGGGTCAGATACTGCAGTTGCTTCATGCAAATCTGTTTACTCTGTGCTGCAGGTTGGCAGCATGTTTAGCATCAATTCCCACACTGCTCAAACTACCCAAACTCAGTGGCTTGTCCTTGCTATGTCTTGAAATAAGGTCTCATGGAGGGCCAATCAAATTCATTTGAAAGCACACCTTTAATTATAAAGCTGCATACAAATAAGGTTTGTGAGCATCTTTAAGGTTGGGTTGAGCTGGGTAACCCATGTCCAGTCTTCTGAGCACAGGGAACAGACTATAAATACTGCCTTTGGATACACTATGATACATTTCATATTTATTTAGTTTTATTTTTAAAATGTCAAATGCTGTCAGTGAATTGTGTGATAGTAGCTTGTTTTTCCTGGAGACTGCCTACACCAATGCAAGGCAGGATTTAGTCTCTCACAGGATAAATGGTTATTAAGAATCAAAATATTAAGACTCCTCTACGATTAAGAGCTGGATGCAGCAACGAGCTCCATGCAAATGTGCCTCAGTGGAATGAAGTCAGATGCATGGCCAGAAGCATGGATCATTTACTGGGTGGGAATCTAGTGATGAGAGTACTTGTTAAACGTCCTGCAGATCAACGAGAAATCAACCAGAAACAAGCTGTTGAGATGTCCCGCTTAGGAAAAACTTGAGGATTGGGCCACTAGCCATCAAAGAATCTTAACAGCAGGAAAAAGAAGGGGGGGGGAGGGAGGATCTCAAAATCAAATTCTATTTTTGTAAAAACCAGAAATGTCTCTATATTTTACCTTGGTGAGGCAGTAAATAGCAACACTCTATGTGCATAAAATGGTCTTCCTTCCACCAGAAATGTAACATCTGACATCTCTTTGTTGTTAAGAAAATGAGGATCTAGAATCAAAAAAGAAGAAAAAAAAAAGGCAATAACTTTAATTTGGAAGAGGTCATGAATGTACTAAATATTTTCCTGTTTGGACAAAAGAAGACAATAGCATAAAAGGATATTGTTTTTAATGAGTAAAGCCCATAAAGCTATTTCGGACAGCCTGAGGCAGAAGCCCCCCAGACAGCCACGTAGAGTTCAGACAAAGGGAATTCAAAGCTTTGAAGTGCGTGACAACCTTTTGCTGAGATGACAGCCAGCCGTCCCCGCTGTGCGGAGCTGGCACAGCCTCCCAGCTCTGCTACCCAAAGCAAACTGCAGATGAATGGATGCTGGAAGGCCCTACGCTCATTTATACCCTATTACACCCCTCTCCCTGTGCGGGGAAGTCTTCGTGCCAAAGGAAAAGAGAGTCCTGGAGAATCGCTCGGGTTTTCTCTCGGTCACATTAAAACAACCCGGGCTCTGTCAGCAGGGCTGGGAGGGCTGTGCCCCCACAGCATCACCCTCAGACAGCCACAGCGGTTTGAGATGAGGACAGATATTTGGCTCCAGGCTGAAGGCTCGGATCCCAGCCTAATTAGCAACACAGACAAATCTTTGCAGATTTATGGT